AAATTATGCACTTCCTTTGGAATTAACTAAAATGCTTAGCAGTGTTAGCAGTGGCAGTAAGCTTTAAATGGATGAGATTCAGTGGTTTGTATTCAAATGTGACAAAATAAAATTCCCTGCAAACGCAAATAGTTTCCAATGCAAAATCAACTAATGCCTGCTGTGTTTTAATTGGGAGTGAAAGTGTATTTAACATAGAAACATTTAAGAAAAAGAACGTATCAGATGGCAGCTGTTTACAACAATGTCCTTTGTTTTAGGGATTTTATTAAAAGGAATGTAATCTTTCAGATCTAAACCTTTCCAGTTACACTAAAATTAAAAGAGAAAAATACATGTGAATCAGTTTCCATATGTCCACCTCATGATACTTTACGAACCGATGTATTTCTGTAATACATCCTGATGTTGGTTTTTATACCAAAGCAGGTCTGACTTGAATAAGGCAACAAATGAATGGATGGAATGAAGACGATATTAAAAAAGCAATTACATAAGTGCTAACCCGGAACTGAAAACACAATGCCCATGTTTGTGTAAGTTGCAACGAATAATGTGCTGGTGTGTTGAATGGGGCCCAGTGTGTCCTTTGTAAAATGATGAATGCAGGCCCATGTCTAATTGTATTGTTTCTTTGAGATTGTTGTTTTCTAACTTGCCTGTCCTATTTTAATTGCAGCTTTACCTATTGTATCCGGGTTTATGTTTTTGTCCCCATTTTGTCAGTTTTAAGTTGTGTTGGAACACAGGTACAAAAGTTGGCAAGCATTAACACTGATGCCTGGTAAAATGTCAATGTGAATATGCTCGTATAAATACGAACAATACTTAAATTTTAGGCAAACCTGACCGACAAATTGTTGTGTCGAATTCTTGAATACTAAATGACTCAAACTCCTTCAACTAAAGGTGACAGCCAAATAAGTAACAGTAACAAAGTTTGGTGAAGCCAAATCTAATAAATAATAATACCTTAAGTTTTCTTTTGTCAGCTAGAATCTCATAATTAGTTTCGAAAACAATTTTAAAGAATCATACTCCACAGTATTTGCCAACTCATGCTTTCCAACATC